ACATAAAAACATTTGCCAGTTTAAGACCTACGGTCAGGGGATTGGGAATTAATCGAATATACAAGTTTGGCACAAGGGCCAAGGACATACCAAACAGCAAAATTAAATCACTTTCCTTAGTAATAATCCGTTCACCAGACAAGCACAAGATGTTCTACATTTACTAAGATGCTTAGGGAGTTCAATATAGTTGTTTTTGGATGAGAAAAAACAAAATCATACGTGACAGGAATTGAACCAATGCCCCTTGGACTTGAAGGCAAGTATATACTATCACGATACCTTTAGAATATACTGTATACTCTAGCATTGTGACATCATGCTGGCCTACACCCTACGCCATGGTCAGAATGATGTATGACGTGAACGTATCGTAAAAACTCAAATTGAAGACTTGGACTTCTTTTTCTGAAAAATTTGGATGGGTTTTCTTTTCGAAGCTACTTTTGAAAAGTAAAGAGGGGCTTCTTTTAAAAATGAATGCTGTACATTTTGGGAATTACTACTATAAAACAATAAATAGCCCGCCGTAACATCAATCTGTATCATGGATAATATGGAGTATAGTAATCGGCATTAAATCGCCTAAACTACCCTATAAACCAAGCGTGTTTTTAAATATTGTTTTGCTTTGAAATTCATGTACAGTGTATGTATCTTGTACGATATCGAAAAAAATCCCATGCTATCTTGATGAAAAGAAGACCATGGGCTACTTTTCGAGGCTAATTTTGCAAACTAAAGTGGAGGCTTCAATTCGAGATGGACTTCTTCTCCAGATTAAGCCCATTAAGCTTCTTTCTAGGTTTTACGATATTAGTAGTGTGTTGCATTCGATTCTGTAGAAAGCTTAGAAATCATGAGATAATACAGTAGGCCTATAATAAAGGGATATTATATTATATATATATTCTTAATTTAACTCCTGAAACTCATCAGATTTAGACATCAACACGTGTCTGCTGTAAAGGGCTTTCTTTAATTATTTAAACTCAGTTGGTTCACACCAAACAAATACTGTAATCATAAACAATAAACAAAAATTGTACAATACCATGCAAAAATTCAATATTAGTTTTTAAAAAATGTATGCTTCAGATATCGTCTCCATAATTCTAATTGATATATTTTAATATTATAGATGTCTGTAGAATTTATGACCTTTATTATTAAACGGTATACCAGTAATTACATTTTGTTTTTGTAGAAAGAAACTTCAATTTTTAATTTGTATTATTCTAACCCTGGGTTCAAACTGTTACATGATTTATTTTTCCTATAACAGCTTCACTTTTAATCCTAATAAAGAGACTTAGTTTATAAATAAATTTGTAATGCTTTACTAGCTATTGGATGTGAAAGAAAGAAAAAAGTATAATTTCACATGATTATTTTGAACGAAAAGCATAGAGAAAGCTATTTACATAATTAATAATAATACGAACATAAATGTGAATATTTTACCAAGTTTATGACTTGAGTTATGATAAATCTTAACGTCACGTTGATTGTTGAATTTGAATTATCGACGGGACGAGTAGTCCGCGGTCCATATTCGGCGAGCAGTTGCTCCGTCAGCAGGGACTCGTTACTTCGAACAGTTACACCTACGAGAGAAAAAAAAACAAACAAACGAAAATAGAAATTTTGTATTAGTCGTGACAAAAATGTCCATTTGACTCACCGTATACACTGTAAAAACAGCATGGAGCATTTTAACACAAAGCTCCACTCAATGTTGTCCCGCTTTTGGTGACACGTTTAAAAGCTAAACGTGTTTAGGCCAGGGGCCGTATTTATCAAACTAAAAATCAGCTTAAATTCATCTTAAGTCCATTATTTTGCTTAAGTCAAATTTATCAATATTACTTAGCTTAAAAATGCTTAAAATTAAAAAGTCGATTGCACGCATGCGCCATCTTAGACGATTTTTAGCCAAGATTTTGCTAAGATGGTTTGACAAATCAGCTTAAGATATTTGCTTAGGAACATCTTAACTTTTTTTACTTAAGACATTTGCTAAGCTGAGATTGATAAACCCCGGGCCAGGCATAAGGCCTAATGTGTTAAGGTTTCTTTAGCATTAAATGTGCTTAGGTAACATCATGATGTCAAATACCTAAGCACATTTAATGTTGAACACGACAAGATCCTAAATACATTAAGCTATATCTAAACACGTTTAGCTTTTAAACTGTTTTTTACAGTGTAGTATATCTGCGAGATCAGCGGGAGTAAAAAGATTTCCCCTAATCGAGATTCAAACAGGTGCCCGCCACTGCAACTTCAATAATATACTCAAAGTAAAAAATTTAAAAATCCCTTAAATCCGGAATACTGTGTATATTTTTAATGCCATATAATGTATTATGTCATGGTTTAACGTTGTTCTATATCAAATATATAACTTATACTCATAATAAAAAATATTATAGGAATACTATGTAGTAGCATTACAGGTTCATTATGAAGCTGGTGTCTTTCTGGTGGTAGACACCGTTTAAAGTAACTTATGTTATATTTTAGATGTCCAAACATAATTTGTGAATAATAACCCACGACAAATTGAGATTGCACGGTAACTACCTTATTTACCTTGCAAATCTAGGCCTACTAATTAAAAACTAAAAACCCTAGCAATATCGATTTAGTAATAATTAATCAACGTTGTTCGTTCAGCTCGAGGCACAGCCGTGTTATTGAAAGTGTCAGGTTAGAATCACAAAGTACATTACCTACATTTGTACCATCATTTTTTCTTATGTAAAAAAGTAGATAATTGATCGGTTATTGTAATATTATTATTGTTCTAAACAATTTTGTCTGCACTAATCAAATTATTGGCGTGCATAGTATCTGTAACCGTAGGCCTAGTACTATCGCTACCTAAAACTATAGGCGACTTCTCTGTCTTTTTCCTCCCTAGACTCAATGTCTAGGGCACTTATTTCGAATACATAGGCCAACGGTCCGGATTATAAACACAAATGGTTACAACAGCAGTTGCAATATTAATTAACATAATTATTTCTTTTGTTATAAGCAAGATATATATATTTAATTTTTTTTTTTTTTTTTTTTTTTTAACCGAAGTAAAATTGTCAGTGGACATATAAATTTATAAACTTTTTTCTGTTGGATAATTGAAAAAAAGACTGGTAAATAACTTTTCTCTTAGCTTACTATAAGAAGGACAAATTAACAGAAAGTAGTACTCATTTTGAACTTCAGTACAGTAACATAATTTACATAATCGTTTTTTATATTTTAATCCCATACCATCTACATTTTTCATTGTCAATAACGAGAATTCCTAAACAAAATTTGGTTAATAGTTGTCTTTGTTTAAAAATGTTTAATTTGAACTAAATACTTTTCTATATAAATTACTTGTTGAGACTTTCAACAGAATCTATTGCCTTCAATGAACTTCTTTTGTTGTATGTTATGCAAACGTAATTTGAATTCATTAAAACAATTAACTTTATTATTAATATTCTGATGTAACTAAAGATAGCCATAACCATTTATTACTATCGCTACTAGCACTACTAGTACTACATGGGGGTGGTTGGCGCAGCGGTTGGGTTTGGTCTCTCTACCTCGAGGTCAAGGTTCGAGTCTTTGCTGTGCATTTCGCTTGTGTTCTTTGGCAAGCCCCTTTACTTACGTTTGTCTCTCTCCACTCAGGAGTATAAATAGACACCCGGCTCACTACTGGGGAGGGAAAAGGCGGCGTGAAAAGGAATTGGCCACCCTACCACACAGTGCCGAGGCTTACAAATCATTCCCCCAGGTTACGTAATGAATACGGGACTACCTTTACCTTTACTAGTACTACTACAAACACCTCCTCCACCACCACCACCACCTTTCCTACTACTACTACTAGTACTACACAAATAAAAAGAAAAATAATTAGTACAGTGATACTGCTGCTATTACCGTACTAATCTACTTCAGCTGTTGCTAACGGCAAATATTTTTAAAATAACTGAAAAAAAAACCACAAAACAGAATTCTTACCCACTGACAGATACGCCATGAAAAAACAGATCCTGACGAGCATCCTGCAAAAGAGGACAAGTGATAAAAAGACAATAAAGAGTGAAACATAGAATCTTTGCGGCTTTGCTCATTGAATCGACTACGTTCCGCCCACATCATTCGGAATTACTTGATTAAAACTCTTTCTCACTACTCGCTTACTAATCTATAATTACAGTCAGAGAGCAATCTGTTTTTTTTTCTCCTCTTGCAATGGTTTGGATTGTGAAATTAATCGTTATACGTTTTAAGTACCCTTACGAGTCATAGTGCACGTAAAATGAGTTCTATAGAAAGGGCCACCGGCGCGTCTAGATTATTGAGACTTCGCGCTGCATCTTAACGAACCAAATATCAATTTTTTTATGATTTATTTTTTTTTTGCCATTAACATGGGCGGATAGAAGTGGGCTCAAGATTCATGATAACCTACCGGTATCTGTGGTATGTAATATTCTTCAGAAATTAAATCAACTTAAAAAAAAAAGTTTAAAACATTGGCCTTATTCGACTGGTCGTTCTTCGTTAAACCACGCCCACCTGCGCAGTGGTAAAATCCTACTTAACGAAGACGACCAGACTGGTAAATACTCGACAAAACAGAATGGCTGCATAGTTACCGCGATACACGCTGCGTAATCAAGGCTGCATCGGATTGTGGCAGTATGGGTTTTTCGTAAAAAAATGTTTTCATCCAGTTTTTTAATTCTGTTAGCCTGCAATTATTTTTTTACTTTAATGTGGGTATATATATTATAATTTTTTATTTTCTGAAATTTAATCTAAATTATGTTAACGCAAATGTTGTTGCTAATCTCACTAATCGGCCACATTTTTTGGTCACGTGCATAACCTAACGCTGATTAACGCATTCTGGTTACGTTAAATTTTCGTTGTCAACGAAGTCTACTTTACGAACCAGTCGAATGAAAATAATACTCAACGAAAATTCGTAATCAACGAAATGAACCAGTCGAATAAGCCCATTAAAAGATTAAACGGTTACCGGTATTGAGATTGAAACAAACGCATAAGTATTAAGCATGCTTTATAATTTCCTTCTTCGTTATTATCAATATTACACTGAGTAGCAATACCTAATAATAAAAAAAAAATTGACCACGATGGGACTCGAACCTACAATCTGCCGATTCGAAGTTGGACGCCTTATCCATTAGACCACGCGGCCCTTCATGCTGACTTTCAGGTATTGTTTTTCAACGAGAACGCTAAATGTATTAACAGCTAACGTATTACAGTACGTCTTAATTGGCGAGAATACTGAAATGTTCAAATTGATAATAACTTCCTTAACTAGAGTACAGTCACTCCATAGAGTGCCTGCATTACTGAATAATACACGCAAGCCGTTTATAGATGAGTCCATTATTTTCTTTTATAATTTAGAAAATGGTGTTGAGGCTCGCTGAGTTTTTTGCTTGTAATACACGTAAGGCGTTTATGGATGATTCCATAATTTTCTTTTATAATTAGAAAATGGTGTCGAAGCTCGCTGTGCATTTCGCTTGTGTCTTTGGATAAAGCGAATTATCCACATTTTCTCTCTGTACCCAGGAGTATAAGTAGGTCTAGCTGATTATGAAATGGTGTTCACCCAAATGTTTGTTCCTTCTAACTGCTTATGGAATGGTGCTCACCCAGGTTTTTGTTATCCTTCCCTTCTAGTTGCTTATGGAATGGTGCTCACCTAGGTGTTTAATCCTTCTTCTAGCTGTTTATGGAATGGTTGTCACTCATAAGTGTGTGATTCTTCTTGCTGCTTGAAACGAATTTCCCCATGGAAATGTGTTCCATAGATATTTGATTCAATGTCCGGGATAATAATGTAAAACGCATTAAGGCCGTTTACTTAAATGGCGCATTACCATTATTAAAGTTCAGCGTCTGCAGTATCAAATCATGGTGTGCCATTTAAAGAGCCATCATGGTCTACGGTACATCTTTCTTAATTACTTTACCCTGTAGTTCTATAACACAGAAAATATCCCGCGGGTTATGAAACTTGCACACTGTAATTAAATAAGTATGTAGAAACATAAAGATTGGTTACCAGAAAATTGCTACACTGTGCCTTGCAATCTTTCCTCGACGCTCTCCGATTCGACTGACAAATCAGTGTTACCGAAAACTGTTGGCGATAGCGTGTAGCGATTTTATGGAAACTACACTTAACAATAAGCCAATTCGTAGTTACAACTGTGCATGCTCATATCTTAGGTCAGTCGACATAAACAAGCATACACACAACATAGGTTTATGTCGATTAGCTTCGATTGACAATAGATACGGGCATGTGCACTTTCAACAACGAATTGGCATAATCAATACAACCGTTAAGGATACAGGTATATCCTACTCTACAAATGTTGCCTCTATTTCATAGTCTCTATACGTAACAAAATTTCGATAGATTGTACTCACTTATAAATTCGTAGTTAGAACTGCGCATGCTCGTATCCAAGGTCAATCGAGGTCAATTGACATAAAGCTATGCTGTGTGTATGGTGTACCTTGATACGAGCATGTACAGCTCTAACTACGATTGCTTTTTCGTAGTTTAAACCGCGCATGCCAGTATGAAGGTTAATCGAAATAAACAAGCATACACACAACATAGGTTTAAGTCGATTAGCATCGATTGACAATAGATACTGGCATGAGCAGTATAAACCTCAAGTCGGTTTACTACCATTCAGTCAATTCTAGATTTTAATTATGGAAAATGATATAGGAAATGTATTATTTATGAGCCAATTAATTGAAATTTCTTTATTCTCGCTCTAATTTTCAAATACAATCTAATAACATAATTAAATATAGAAAGTACAATCCAGATAGGAAATGCAACTATCTCGCTTGGACTATATGTTACAACCAATAAAGTTGGGCCGAGTATATCATATCTAATACCGTATCTTGTAACAAAGTGCTATTTCGAGTCTGCAATTACTCATCGTATCATTTCGCAAATGCTTCACTGAAGTTCTTTTAAATAATATGTAAGCATAAATGATATTTGATTGTAGAGATTATTTTTCTGTTTCAGTGTATGTTTCGTTGTTGTCACTCTCGCATCTAATGCTGTTTATCTATCAGTCACCTGGTAGTTACAGGGTGGGCCTAGTCAGTCCATCTCAATCTGACATGAAATTGATAATACCTATTTTAACCCAAGCTCACAAAAGGGCTGTAAACTCGTCCTCTGGCCAAAATGAATTTTCGTTATAATGGCATAGAACATATCATTTACTTTAAAATGACAGTTAAATTAACTCAATCGGGTGTCTGGAAGCAAAGTTTGAATAATTGTCATCTTATTAACATTCTTAAATCGAGTTTTGAGAAAAATGCTTTTATTTTCGGCAGGTTTATTCATTTTCACTAGCTCCCATCCGAAAACGGCTAAATTTTACCTCTTATAGTTGGAATTTTAAACTAAAACTTCAGGAATAGTAAGATTAAAAGTTATACTTTATTTATTACACAAAAACCCAATTCACACAAAATTCACCTTCTACGCCCTATTCTGGCTATGGAGGCTTGTTTCTCAATACAGTGCGGTGCGAGTTTACAGCCCTTTTGTGAGCTTTGGTCACATTTACTATTGAATGTTATACTTGTAATAAGCTTTGAAGTTGAACAGTTTATTGCCTACGATCCTTTCCAATTTCACGATGTGGGTTCAATTCCTGTGACAGTAGATTTTTTTTTCTCACAGCTAAAAATAATTCCATCTCATTATAAGACTTACTTTATAAAGCATACACGGGCACTGTGGAAGAACAGTACTGTAGATTTCTACTGAACAAAGTACCTGGTATAAAGAAGACAGGTTTTTTTTAAACCTGTCTTCCGTAGTCAACCAAATAGTTCATTTTTTCTGATTCGCATTTTTATTATCAATATATAGTCAACATACTGTAATACTGTATATAATTTACAGAATTTATATATTTTTTTTAATTTCTTTTTAGTTTTGTTTCCTTACGAACAAAAGGAAACATGCTTTATTGGTAAACATGTTTATAAGCCGATTTATAAGCCGATCTGTTTTAAGGGTTTGAGATATTGGCTTAATTTTTATTCTGGGTATCCTGTTTAGTAAATATTTACTGCTCTTCCACAGGCCAGAGTTGTGATTTTTAATAAGTTATTATCATAGTAAGACAGGGAATGGAGTAGTTTTAGTCATGAGAAACATCCTGGTGTGTAGGAATTGATCAGACCCAGTACCCTGGGATTGGAAGGCAAGTATCTTAACCACCAATCTATTTAACTTCACTCCATTGCCTATCCGGTAAAGTTATTAACATTAAGTTGTGGCAATACTGTTAATACGTTGTTTAATTGCTGATGTTAACTGGGGTAAATATTATGTGACTCATGAAATTGTAATCAAATCAATTTAGCGGGATGCATTACAGGCTTTAACTTAACATTATGAAATTCATCAGTAGTCATAACAATGGGAATGATATGAAAATGAATCATGTAGTTCTTGGTACTAGTCTTATATTAGACGGCCTACTGTATAATTATGATTACCGTTGTACTGGTGGTGGTGGTGGTGGCGGCGGTCGTGGTGTTGGCCGTGGTTGGTTGTGGCGGTGGTAACAGGTGGTGGTAGTAGTGGTGGTGTTAAGGGCAGTGGTGATGGTCATTATGGCATGCTACCTTGAGATAATGGTTGATAAAGCTATCGGCATGGTCTACCGTCTGCCAATTAGCTAATGTTTTCTATTGGTACGGTCGACCGTGAGCCAGGTGTTCTATCAATACGGTCGACCGTGAGTCAGGTGTTCTATCGGTACGGTCGACCGTGAACCAGGTGTTCTAGCGGTATGGTCCTAATGATATGTTGCTATTAAAAATTGTTTTCGTTATTGTAGGCATAACCGCTGTTTTGTTTTTTTTTAAACACAAGATTTAAAAATACACTTACAGGGCATTCCGAAGAATTATGGATGAACAATCACGGCATTAGGGTTTTGTTTTGGGAAGAAAAACACAGATGCGGGGTGAGCATAAATTGACTGGGGACAGAAAAACGCCTTGGATTCCAATAGGGTTCAGGGGGCGAAGGCCCATTGGGGATTTAGAGGGCGAAACTCCGACACTGTAGTAATATTTGAGAGGCGTGCCTATTAATAGCCTTAAATTGAGATGCTTAAGCTCTCGTCAGATGCAATTCTATTGAGGCGACACGTGACGATGGAATTGTCACCGACAATCAGCAGGTGAACTCTGATCTAGCTACAGTATGGATCAATGGGTAGCAAAGGCCACCCCACCCCCGGAAAATTCTAAACATGACACTGAGCGGAGATGGATTAATTGGCCGACGGTCGTGGTCGACGCAGTATGTGTCCGACTTAAGAAGCAAGAGATAAAATGTTTTTAATGTGAAAAGGGGTTATTGGAAAATATTACGTCTATAGGCCTAGTATTATAGGTATTAATTCTGGTTAATGGATACGGTTCGTGTATTATGTTATGTACGTATTTCATTTGAAATTATTACGATCAAGGACATTCAATTTATAAATACATTGCAACCTATTTAAGTTTTTTTTTTTGTTCAATTATGAATGTACTGAACATAGTATACAAATTTCTAATGATGATGGGATTGGCTCCATTATCTAAAGGCACGCGATAAAGATATTGGAATAAATCACGTAATGTAGCTAGGCCTTGAAGTATAAAACATTCATATTGCTCTGGTGAATGTTTATGTATTTGATTACATTGTTCATTTTTGAAAATAATTATATTCAACGATTCTTTAAAACAATGAATATCAGGGTCGGCCATCGGTAATGTTTGTATCATTCAATAATAATAATAATAATAATAATAATAATAATAGGCTAATAATAATAATAATAATAATCAATACTACAATGTTTGCTCTATCGGCTAAGCTTTGAAGCAAAGTAATGGCAGTTTGTCAGGAATATAATTGTGATTATTTATAATCATTATTATTGTGTATGATAACGATGATAATTATTAGGAAGACCAAAAAGGCAACGATATCCTGTAGTAGATGGTATTCATTAATGCTAACGATGATGGGAGCACCTAATAATATAGTACATCCGAGTTGATTATTATTAAAGTATAGGGGTACGATATATGTTTGTTTTAATTGTTTAAAACTCACAAGTACCAGTAAGTGCAAAGGTTAAATTTAATTAGATGATGTCATAAAACTCAACAACGAAGACTTAACGTTCCGTTTTGAGTTTACATAATTGTAAAATTAATATCGATTGCGAAATGTCAAAGAATTTGTAAGCAGCAAGATCAAATGAGACAATGTTGTTTTCTTCATTATATACCACAAGTACCTGGCTTTTGTTATATAATAATAATAATCATTATTATTATTATTATTATTATTATTATTATTATTATTATTATTTGTTTTGGTTTTGTTTTTGTTTTTGTTTTGTTTTGTTTTTTTTTTGTTTTTTTTAGTAGCTGAAAAAGCCATTATTTTTGTTCTGATGATTTGTTTTTATTACATATCGTTTTTCCTATCTTTTTGCACTGTTTTTCCACCCGGCACTTTGGTCACTTACCATATATATCAAGTATGTGGCTCCTAAAATTTAGTGACAATTCAGAGTGAGGCGTGGGGGAGAGGGCCAGTTAAATAAAATGATTTAAGGGCAAACACCCAGCACCAGATATTTCAAAAACAGAACAAATGGTCTAAATTAAACTTTTTAGAAAGTTTAACCAAGTTACAAGAAAAAAATTCTTATGTTTTGGTGAAATCTACTGATTTGAATAACAATTGATTGATTGATTGAGGATCAATTGAGGATCAATTCGAAAACATTTAATTTACTATCATTCACTGATCTAATGGCACTATAAGAGCCTGTCTCTTATACACATGCCCTCTTTTGGAAAGTAAAATAAAAGAAGAGAAGGAAAGAAAGATAGAAAGAAAAAGAAATAAATGATCGCCCAAAACGCCTCAGAGGTTATTTTTGGGAGTCTAGAACACTACAATTTCGCGGGGCATGCGCCCGGACCCCTAGGGTAGTGTTATCTCGATCAGCCCCTCTTTCTTCCCCCGTTTCGGCCCCCTTGTTTGGACATCTCTGGATCCGCCCCTGCAAAATACTATGCAAAAATTGTTAGACCATGAAGGTACACCCTCCATGGTTATGCAGTACGGTATATTGCACTACGGTAATTTCTTTCTATCGGACTCTGTTACTATGGTTTCAATGATACCCAGTATGTTCATAAACTAGTCGATCATGTTCATAAACTAGTCGATCGACTTGAATTGTGCAGAGAATTCGTTTTGTTTAAAGAATACAGAATGAATAAAATGAGCATATTGGTTACGCTTACCTTTATGTTGGTCTAAGGTAAATCACAAGCTGTTAGTCTAATCCTTGAGGAGATGGACCGCCCCTCTAATAACCCTTTATATTTTTCAACTCAAGCTCTTAGTTCTTAACCCGGTTGCGGCAGAATCCGTTCTGGTAATTACTGTCCATGCGGCAGGCAGAAAATTTGTGCGGGCATGCGGTTTGCATTCTAAAATCTTGAATACAGTAATCCGCATTATGGGCGAATCGCAGCCGTAATCTTGCTATTATGAAGTCCAAGTAAAAACATCAATACACAGCGTAAATATGAAATATTAAAATTGTTCGATCAATTTAAATTCGTATTAATAATGCGCAAAATATTGAACACACAATAATTATTGTTATAGGTGTAGATATCGTGTTGTACATAGCATTATGAGATTACAAAATAATGATTACATAAAAATATATATTATAAATATTAATTATTATTTAAATTATTAAATTAAATTATTAAAATTATTAAAATTGAAATTATTAAAGTATTTAAATTAAATTATTTAAATTATTATTTAATTATATTATAAATATAAATTATTATTTAAAGAATAAAAGACATAATACATAATTATTTTTTAATAATAATATTAATTTAAAAATAATACTAATACATTGACAACGATAACGATAACTATGCTGATGATGAATATAAGAATATTAAGAATAATAACAAAATAATTTTAATAATAAATATTAAATTAATAATAACATGCCTAAGATAAATAATACAATAATATTATGACTACTACCAATAATATATTCATTTTAATAATTGTATTATTATTATTATTATTATTGTACTAATTTTTATAGATAATAAAATACTTTAATAATTAGGTTTATATAACATTCGTTTATAAACAAGATGATCGCCTTTACAGTTCTAGAGCGTTATTTTCCATGGAAGACGTGCACATTAGGCCATTAGGCATTGTCATTTGTTTTGGCGAGAAATTTTGTTTTCTTTAGTTTAGGCGGTAGGAAGAGAGGCTGCAATAAAATGCAATACCTTGCTAGCTACTACAAGGGCATTTTAATGCTGCTACTACTACTGACTTTAAGCGTTGGAGGCTGTTGACGGGGTCTCCCGACGATACATATTATTGACAGTGCGCCCTCAGGATCTACTCACAAAAATTGTCATGATTGTGGTCATAGTGCATGGTGTCAGTGCAGCTTTATCCGCTGGTCAAAATCCTGCAATCATGAAACAAGGTTTATCATTATCTTATATCGATATATTGTCACATAACAGAGACGTGTAGTGTCGTATACTAGGCGTTCCGTCCAAAATAGATAGGCATAATGCAATAGGCCTATTAACTTATTGCCGGTTGGTATTCATTTATTGCAAGTCCTTATTATAAGTATAAGTTTGAACAGGACCGTATGAAAAACAGGCTATAATAAACACCTGATATGTTTTTGTGCTGTATAAATATGTTTGACATAAAAAATAAAAATAAAATAATCAAACATAGGATAGGATATTAACATTTCCTAAAATAGAGTTAGTTTACCATAACAATCGATCCAGTTTTTGATGTTATAATCTAGCTAGCAGTTTACCCTGTAGGAGCGAGTAAATCTGGTGGAGATGTATGAGTGCCCTATTAAAAGACAAATGGAGTTCGGAGCTCAAAAAACTTGCGTTTGAAACTCGAACATGCGTCATAGCAAGGTAATTCAATTACCTTTGTCATAGAGACGCAACGCTTTTTATAACGCTTTTTATAGTATTTTGAAGGACGTCCTCTAGACCGTGGTAGTGCTTTTCGATATACAGTAATGTACAGAAATAGGCAGTAGGCACACGCTCCCACTGGATGCCTATTTTTAATAAAAGCTATATTTCAAACTAGTTTCCTGTGCTCTATTAAAACATTGGTAATAAAACACCATCGGATAATAATTAAATTGTTTGCATGTATATCGTTTGACCACAATATCTATTCATATTCGACTAACGGGTGACGGGTCCATGACATTTAAGGTTCTTAGAGGAGTAATTATTGATTTCTGTGTTCATTCCATCTGTTTATATTTAGGTGCCACCGATTTTCTTGTTTAGTTTAGAACTAGCTGTTGAGACCTCATAGACCCCTCTTTAAATAGTTACGAAGTTTCCGATTATCATTAGTACAGGTAATTATTACTATGCTAAGGCCATTAGGGATAGGGAGCAAAAAGATAAAAGATTATCTTACGGTTTATACGACTTTCTGAAAATGTGAATAGTATTAAAGGCCTGCCTTACGTAAAGCATTCGATACTGTGAAGTGATAAAAAATTTTAAAGGTATGGTTGTAAGCTTGGGACATTAGAGACTAAGTTCTTTAAAGTGACAGCAGGAGTTAAACAGGGCTGTGTTTTGTCACTGATCCCCCTTTTCCATATACATCAATGAGCTAGAAAAGTATCCTCCGTTCACAGTAATGAAGGGTATATAGACCTATGAAACACAAATGGGCTGTTTATGCTTGACAGACGATGTTGTTTTAATAGCAGTTGATCCAATTTAGTTCCAGCGTCTCTACAATTATTTTACTAACAAACTTTAGTTAAAGTTCAACTATGAAAAATTAAATATACTAATAAATGGTGAAAATAATCAATGGATTTGGTAGTTAGGTAAAACAAAAATATTACAGAGGTTGACACTTACAGATACCTTGGTTGTATTACATCATGAACTATGTCAGGTCATAAGCATAATGATGAAGTTATAAAAGAGGTAATAAAATTGTACCATATATTGAATCCGCCCGTGGCGCCAGTGGGGGCGAGGGCCAGGGCCCCCCGACGGGGAGAAAACCACAATTTGTCGGGGAGAAAAAAAATGTATATGTATTTTCTACATTCTAGTTGACCCCAAAACAGATTGAATAAGTCTTTAAAACCCCTAAATTGTCATTATTATTCGGCCCCCTGAAACACTTCCGAGAAATTTTTGAGCGACGCCTCAACACGCCCACTCTTTTTCGTCTTTTTCGCCCACACCCCACCCCCCTCCCCTCGGCAAATCCTGGTGCCACCACGTAGTACGTCAATTACTTGTGGCTGCCGAACCATGTCTAATGACTTTTAACTATATAGTTAAACGTGCTTGCATTGTCTGGAAGATTTAATTATGTTTTGCGTCTTAGAAATAGACACGTAGAAATAGGTCTCCAGGTCAAACAAATTGCACAAGTTTGGTTTTTTGCTGACATTTGTTCTTTAGCTTGTAACAATTTGCATATCCAAAAGTATGTTGATCCGCCAGTACTAAATTACCTAATTACCATAAATTTAAAATGGCCGCCTTTTAAAAACGTGGCAGCTAATTTTCTCCACAACAATTAAATATTGAGCATGTAAGTGTGTTAGTTAAAGTTCAACATTTCCTTTATCCTAAAAGAATAGAATTGTTTTCCCGTTAAATTTGATTCAATATTCGGTTTCTAAATGACTGAATCATTAATATAAGTTATATAAGGTTTTCATCAAATGGAACCAAATTTAAACATTTGTTTTTATCTTAAAAGATTATTGAATATTTATTTCCTGTGAATTTGATTTTGTGTTCAGTTTCTTAGTGTGAAACATTAATGTAGGGTGCCTCGTTAAGTTTTATAGCAACTGGAACCGAATGAATGAATAATGTTGTTAAGTGTTGTAGCAACTGAAACCAAATTATGCATTACGACAGTTTCCTTGTATCTTTGTACAAATCACGGACTGCAGTCCCTTATATGAGGCCAAAATATACTTTAGTTCACCTGATAACAGGGGTGGATGTAGCAGGAAGGGCCTGGCCGCCCCTACTACCCCTCCCACTACTTAAAAATAAAAAACGAAAGAAAGATAAAAAAAATTAATTGATCGCCCTTAACGCCTCAGAGGTTCGGACATCTAGAAAATAAAAATTTCCTCTAGGGTAGTGTTATCTCAATCTGTCCCACTTTCGGTCGCCTTTCGGACATCTCTGGATCCGCCCTGGATAAGGCCAACAAATTCTACAAAAGCTGTATTTAAACCCCAAAACACTGAGGTACTATGAGTGTACAGTAGGCCTACCATGAAGAGAGCTTTTAAAACTGTGCAAGCCATATTGAATGTTTGAAGATCAAGATAAGCATCGTCTCATTGCAGTGGAGAATTATAGAGAATGCCTCCTAGTGGATAACTTTAAAAACTGAAATTTTCCACTAATGCAATGACTTGTTTAGTTTAGTTCGGTCAATAAAAAATGATATACAGTTCGCCCTCCAATTCGAGACCACCTTTGGGACCTGAAAATTTGGGGTGGTCTCGGGGTTGGTCTCCAATTAGAGGGCTTAGCTTTGTGTTAAAATATTGAAGATTGTTATTTGGGTCTTTGGAAATGTGGTCTGGAATTAGAGGGGTCTCGGAATTAGGGGGTCTCAAATTGAAGGGTGCACTATAATTTTTGTGTGACCCTTGTCTAAGACAAAAACAAATCATATTGAATAAATTTATAATTATGCCTTTACTGTGTCCCTTTTTAAAATTTTAAATTAGTTATATTTGTGTTCAAACATAATTACATGTCATATAAACCCCTCAATTAATAGTAGTGAACATAGCCATGAATTTGCGCGCTATGAGGATTTTCCATTGGACGGACTCATTAAAAATACTCAATTATGGAAATATTGACATGTCATTGTTAAATATGACAATTATGTTCAAAGAGCTGTATTTAATATTCGAGTACCGTACTCATTGATGTCAATTAACGGTGCACTTTCAAAAATGATCTTGTATTAGAGGTCATTTTGTCACTTGGGACTTTACAAAGGTGGTCATGGTCTCGAAATAGAGGAGTTCCAGCATTAAATGGCGAGCTTAGTGTTAAGAGATAGGTGATTAGTTGGTACTTGGAAAAAACTGGTCTCGAATTAGAGGGTCTCGAATTGGAAGGTGAACTGTAGATGAATTCGTTGACATTGGAAACAGAGGTGTAGACACCAACACCAAAACACTTAGTCTCATATTAGACCTACTGATTTTATAGACCTCAAAAGATTTGAGTGGTGACCATTTTGCATTTATGCAAATTAGGTCATTAGTCATTGACATGGTAGATTTTGGATATTATAATCTCTAAGGTAATTTGAACATATTTAAATAAAACAAACCTTTGCAAT